TTATGCATTTTGAATTTTTGAGTATGTTAAATTTTGTGTATTACTGAATTAATAGTTATTGGATCTTAAAAAAGTAAAAAAGAATTAAAACATGATGTTTATGAATGAGAAATAGCAATATAATAAAAAGTGGCACAGAGAGAGTGGCACAGAATATAAGACAGAAGATCGTTGCGCCGAAAATCTCAAGTGACAAGCAAGAGATGAGATTCGAATATTCCGAAAATCTTGAGACACAGACAACAATTGACCGACTACTACTAATGACAGACTCAAATTGAAACCGTGCGTAAGCGAAAATCAGAGCAAAATATTGGAAGTCATTTGATTTTGGATTCTTCCTTGAGCCATTTATCGTCTGCATTTCTTGCGCTTAGTCAAATGGAGAAGATAGAGCACAAGTATGTTGAAGTGAATGGCTTGAAGCTTCATGTGGCTGAGATCGGAAATGGGTCTAAGACAGTGTTGTTCTGTCATGGGTTTCCAGAGATCTGGTACTCCTGGCGCCACCAAATGGTTGCGGTGGCCAGCGCTGGTTTTAGAGCCCTTGCACCTGATTACAGAGGATATGGATTTTCCGATCCCCCACCTGTTCCTGAGAAGGCCAACTACTTAGACTTTGTCAGTGACCTCCACGCTCTGATTCAATGTCTTGGCATTCCAAAGGTTGATACCCTTTTGCTAATTGTCTCTTTCTGTGAGAGCATTTTGCTTTTCCCGTTAGCTGTTGTGAATGTGCTTTTCTTGCATAATTGGGAAAGCTTATTAACTCTGTGAATCTAATTGATCAAGAAATTTTCTTTTTTCCCTCGCTCATTTCCATGAAATAATATTTCTATCTTAAGATGCGGAATTTGATCTGCAAGTTCACCTGCTTTTCTTTGGAAAAATGTTCAAGAAATGAACAAAGGGGATCTTTTTGAAGCTGTTTCTGATACTTTTATATGGACTACTGGGACTACCAATCTGTCTCAAGTCTTTCCTCTTTGATATATGAGTTCAGATGGGTAAAATTTCTTAATCTCATTTCCAAGATGCACCAGTATATGAGAGAAAAGAAGAGAGATGAAGAATGCTCTGCCAAAATCATTCCTTTGTCACTGAAATTAAAACCTTTTGAGATCCTTCTCCGAATTTTCCGCACAATGTGCAGGTTTTTCTCGTGGCCAAAGATTTTGGAGTCCGCGTAGCACAAGTTTTTGCCCTTCTCCATCCGGAGAAAGTTGAAGGAGTTGTAACACTGGGTGCACCCTTCACACCTTTGGGACCCCCACTGTTTCTGCAGTACCTCCCTGGAGGCTTCTATATTTCAAGATGGCAGGTGCATAATTCTCTTTGTTATTTTCTTCCTTCTTCTTGCATTCATACCAGAGTTAAGTAAATTCTGGATGCGGAATTATGCTGGAGTGGGGGAGTAGGGAGTCATGAATTTCGAATACAGGTTTCGAGGTCAAAATGTGGGTTCTAACAAAAAATAACTTGTTCATTCTAGGAACCTGGAAGAGCTGAAGCAGATTTCGGCAGGTTTGATCCTAAAACAGTTGTTCGCAGAATCTACATTCTGTTCTCAAGAAGTGAATTGCCAATTGCTGGGGAGAATCAGGAAATAATGGACTTGGTGGATTCATCTATGCCTTTGCCCTCTTGGTTCACGGAGAAAGATCTCGAAATGTATGGCAGTCTTTATGATAAATCTGGATTCCGCACCGCACTAAAAGTACCTTATAGGTACCCAATCGATCAAATTCCTCTTGAATATTTGTACTGACTGAGTCAGCCATGTTTCTAAAACTAGGAGTTTTCTTGTTACTGTTCAGTCTTCTATACCTGCTAACCAACTGGTTTGTTTGTGTTATAGGTCATTGAGCGAAGAGTTCAACATATCAGAAATGAAGGTGGATGTCCCAGCGCTATTGATAATGGGCGAAAAGGATTATGTTATCAACTTCCCAGGAATGAATGACTACATAAGAACTGAACAGGCAAAAGAGTGTGTTCCTCAATTGGAGACAAAATACATACCTGAAGGTTCCCATTTTGTTCAGGAACAATTTCCTGATCAAGCGAATGACCTGATACTCAACTTTCTCAAGCAGCATAGTTAACCCGGGCACCAAAAAAACAACTCTCTCTAGTAGATTTTGATGTACTTTTGACTGTTCCCTACTACTTTCACTTCAGAGTGGACATCTGAAAGTTCTTAACCAGATGTGTGGATGGAGTTTCCCAGTGCTATGACATTGGTGGAGTTTGTAATGCTGTAACATTTCTGAAATAATAGAGAGAGATTCTCTGCGGTAATGTTGCATCATTCACAATTTCTGTCATACTACCACTTAAAAGCACTTCTTACCATTTCACTAAAGCTTGGCATTTTCTAGCTTTTGTACAACATGATGCTATGGTTGATTTTCATTTGTCAAAAGTTTTACGGGTAATAGAGCTAGTGATTTCTCCCTGTGACTCATACAACCCAAAAAATACAAATTCAAAACTTTTGACTAATTTTGATTTTAACCGTTAGATATTAAAGTTTCTTTTAGTGGTCCTCAATTTCCCTAAAATAAAAAAGTTTGGGATCATATTTATTTTGGTCGAAATATCAAGAATCAATTTAACTGATAAACCAAACATGAGGGACCCAAATTGCACATCGCCCTTTATTTTAATTATGTCTAAGTTCCTAACTCTTCCTTTTATATTTATGCTTCAATTATTTCAAATATCAAACTCAATTAAAAGAAAAAAACTATCACAACATTTGATTTAACATATATAAAATCCACTAACTAATGTTGAAAATTTCACCAATTTTCCGTTACAACAATCTTGTCTATCTTTTCATGCCTTTTATCTATGTTTTTTGACATTCTTTTCTTACATTTTCTTACAGAAAGTAAGAGTTACGCAAATAAACCTAATCCCGTGAGAAACCTCAAAAGCCGACTATTCTTGAGGTCCTCACAGGGACTTATCTACCCAACCCATACCCCCTCCCTTACCGATGTGGGATTTGGAAACCCCGACAGGGGCAAGTCCAGTGGGCCGCCCCTGCTAGAGGATAAAGACCCCCCACGAACCCTGTCCTGTTGACCCACCCCTTGACAAGAGTTTCTTTTCTTACATTTTCTTACAGAAAGTAAGAGTTACGCAAATAAATCTAATCCCGTGAGAAACCTCAAAAGCCGGCAACTCTTGAGATCCTCACAGGGACTTATCTACCCAACCCATACCCCCTCCCTTACCGATGTGGGATTTGACATTCGCTTTTCGCTCTTTCCCTTTCATTGGGACCCGTATTTCGGCTTGGAGTGTTCACAAAATATTTTCTAAATACTGGGCATTAAATGATAAACAAATTTTTAAGAGGGTTTTTATTGTAATTTGAAAATGCATTGCATCATTTCATTCACACACGCCCGGCCTTATTTGGGGCCCAGTACATCTTTTTGCTATCCGCCTTTGTGCGTCCCCACAAAAAAAAGTTGGCTTCCTTGCATTGCTTCTGCCTACCGCGGACAGAAAAGTGTATTTTCCACCGTAGACGGGACCACCGCTGAGAAATAAAGGTGCAAGATCCAAAACATGACATTGAGTTGGACTACTTAGAAGTACAAAGTACTAGAGATTTTCTTGCATAGCCAATGCCAATATATTGTGCCGAAAATATTGAAGAATTTCCTGGTATTCTCATTTCTCTAAACAATAATATGTAAATTCTTGCCAAGTTATATGTAGTGTCCATGTATATGCATAACTCGTAGAACTGAAGAATTGAAGTAATTGTTAACTTAATTGGATTGCTAATTAAGCTACTTAATGGGCGAGACCACAGTGGTAAAGTGCACTAAAAATTCTATCAGGAAGACATTAATTTTTGCTCTTATATTTTAGATATCAATCAATTACTTCTCATATTGGCTGGCAAGGAGGGACCTTAAGAAGGGATGTAAATCTTATGCCATTATGGACCATGATGAAGTGCTTGCATACTTCCACATAAACCACAAAGAGTCTGGACAAAGGAGCACATATGCAATATGAAAAATAAACATGAATGAAGAACACAATAAACGTAAATTAATTAAGTCAATAGTACAGAATCTCTCTCTCACACATTTTTACGATAGTTTGTAAAGCTCCAACAAGTATTAGAAGAAAAACAAATTCAAATAACTAAATCGTAGAACAATAGTTCATAACTTCACAACACTTTGAAATTCCTTACAGCCCCAAATATTTGATGCCAACATGTCACGTTTATTCCAGTCCCAAATGGCGCCATGTGGACAATGGCTTTCATATAGCACTTTGAAATTCCTTTAGAGCGTCCTAACATGTCAGCATTGATATTAAAAAAGTCATCTTTAGTCATTGCTGGTTTCCTGGGAACTCCAAAAGGAATGATCACAAGATGCATACGAGTAAGGGTATCATCCAATTGCTCTTTTTTGACAAAACCATGCAGCTAGAAATGTAAACCATACATTAGTAACAAGTAACTTGAGGGTACTTGTTGGGTAACACCAAAATACCAGCACCTTGCACACTGGTTTTACAAAACAGTAATGCTAGCTTCAATATCACTTAATAATACCCTGCTAGCCAAGTGGCACACATGAAATTTTAAGGTATATCTCAATTAGCTAGGACTATCTACTTGAAATCAAGAAAAAAAATTACCTCAAAGAATCAATTCATTCACTCACCAACTAAAGGCAAATCAAACCATAATAAATAGCATTTTAAGAATCACAAACATAAATATTTAAATTGCAAAATGTTACCTTCTTTTGTGGGGTTTTGGTAGGTTCTTCCTCATCCTCAAAAGTTTCTTCTTCATCTTCGGAAGATGAATCATCTGAGCTGCTTATCTTTGGTTGCACAGGCTGCCAAAGTTAAATTCAAGCATTGAACATATAAGTGAAATGTTAAGGTCCCACAAAAGCCAAATGCGATTAAACTTTCATCTTAACTTTCCTCTTCACTACTACTTTTTGTTTTCCCGCCTTTAGCACTGGATTTCAGAACACCAGTGGGCTAGAGAACCCCACAAAGAAATAATTACAAAAGCCAACTGATATGTTAAAAGGCAACAAAAATGCATACTTGAAAATTACATACCACAACTTTACTCTTCTTTTTCTGAGGCTCCCCATCTTCACTTTCCTCATCAAAAGTGTCTTTCTTGCTACTATCTTTATTCACCTGCACTTGCAAAGCTAAAATGAAAAATGTATCTGATACCAGTCAAAAAAGCATGTCCTCTTTAACACTTTAAGCATGTGAAGCTATTACCTGCTTGTTTTCAGCTGCAAAGGATGGCCTCTTGGGAGAAATAGCTTTAGGAGGTGGTGACTGCCATGTGATAAAGTAGCAAAACAAGGAAATATCAAGAATTAGAAAAAAAAAAATGTAGAAAGAACCATAATACCTCTTCAAAGGAATATATGTCATCCATATTTTTAATGAAGCCTCAGCATTGTAACATTCATCAAACCACTCATCTACTAAACTAAAGTCTTTACTTGCATTCCTTTTTCTTTTCATTTTAATGAAAGTAGGAGTAACGAAATGTGACTAATGATAGCTACTGAAGAGAGTAAAACTAACTTTTATATATATGAAATCCAAACTGCTAGATATAAGTAGCTGACCATTCTAACGCTTTTACATAAGGTTGGAACTCATAAGTGCTTATCTGTGCTAGGAATTAATCAGTGCATGACCAGTTCCTAAAATCAAAATTTAAGCAGAAACCAAATTATATCAAACAAATCATGATTTGAGTGCAGATTCTACTTCTTGAGCCCCAAAACACCTGGAAAATTAGAACCAAGACAGTAGAAAGCTAGGGAAATACTCTTTAACTGGTCTTTGGTTGTAACTATGATAGTCACTAACATGACAATGCAATAAAAGTAAAAAACAATTGATGAAATTAATGTTTCTAGGTCTATCAAAGTATTGTTTCCAATGGAATTTAAAGATAGTTCGACCCATTGCAAGACATTAAAGGATCATTCAGCATACAAACACAAAGGCAAAAGTAAAATCATTTTTGTAGGACTAAACAGTAAGCTAAAGAACATCTCTTAAATCATCTAATACTCCATAACAATGAGACACGTATATTTTCAGAAAACTAAACCAGTATAGTGGTAAAGCTACCTATAGAAGCAAATTATCAAACACAAAGCATGCTACTATTGTTATGCATCACTTACTGTATTTAGAATATGTGAATGCATAAAATAGCAAAGGTGTTGTGGTTTTAAGGTTTGAGAGTTGTGTGGAACTTGGAACGCTGCCTTTAGAAATAGATTTGAGGAATTAATATTCTACACCTTCAAGGCAACTACAACAAATTCTAGAAGCTCAATATTAGGATTATCTGTTTTAAATTTGGTTTGTTCTATCGCAGCCTAACTTTTGTGCATAATAGCTTCAACGTGGGATAAAACCTTAATATGTAAGACTCATTCTAATGCTTTTACATAAGGCTAAAACTTAACGTTACAATTGAGATTGAGAATTTAACTTATTTTAGCTTGGTTATCTCTATTCAGTAAGTAGTAATAACCCTTCGTTGGTAATTAGTTGTGCTATATTATTAACAGGAAAAGAAAAGGCAAGAAATTGAAGGACTGAAGAGAGAGACCTGAAATTGAAGCAACTGCTTACTGTAAATGTGTCGATGTTAAATCAGAGGTTTCTCTGCACCAATTGTTTCATACTGCAATTAACCCCTTGAAGAAATTTAACAACCAAAATAAAAAGTAGACAAATTATTGAGTTTCTTTAGTACTGGTAGGCGAAAAAATTAGAGAAAGAAAAGGAGTAGTTACCTTTAGCACGAAGAGTTGCAGAGAAGAAGGTAGAAGAAGCATGAAGTTTTTTTTACCGGCATTTCTGTTCTCTGTTCCTAATATAAGGGCACAAAGTTTACTTCATTCTTGATAATTTGCCAATTGGTCAACAATAAGGAAAGCAAAACGACATACCTATATCCCTAGCAATGGTATTAGCCATGATAAAGAGAGTGGATAAAGATGCAAACTTGATAAATTCTCAGAGATTTTTGTTTTGACTCTTGATAATTTACCAATCGGGAAATGAAAATGAATATAAAAGGACAAACCAAAATCCCATAGTTGGGATATGATAAAGAGGACAGAAGTAAAAAAAAAAAAAAAATTGGATGGATAGCCATAATTTAGGGAAGAAATCATTAAATTGTCGACCGAGTGCTAGAGGAATTCAAGCAGTACTTTTCTTGGTCTGAACCAAAAAGAAAATGAGAGGGAAACAAAAAAAGGAAAACAGAGAAAAAGAGAGAAAGCAAGAGGAAAACAATGGTTGGGGAATAAAAAGGAATAGAAGAGGACAAACCACAAAATTCAATAAGCTGCCGTAATTTGGTGAAGACAATCTTCAAATAGTTGACCAAATGTTGGAGGAATTCAATTGGCACTCTTCTTTATCTATAAACCAGAAAAGCAAAACGAAGGAGAAAGAAAATAAGGGAAAAGAGAGATAGAGCATGAGATTGTTGACCAAATGAGCGGAAGAGTTGAATTCATATTTTTCTTTGTTTGCTTTGGAAGAACACATAGCAAGTAAACAACCCATTTTTGGCCACTGTCCCTAAAAGCTGTTCAACTACTTGTTTACTGCTCTTTTTCCACCGAAGAGAAGAGGAGCAGTGGAAGAAATGGGAAACAATGAAAAGGAGAGGAGGATAATTTGACCCAACATGCCGGAAATAACCCTCAACAGTTATCTACTGTTTTGAGGTGATGTTATGTCTGGTAGGATAAAGTTGTAATTAAACGGTAAAAGACGAATGACCCCTTAACAGTAGTTGATTGTTCAGCCCAGAAGTTAAATTTTGGAGGGCATTGTTGGCAAAAGACAGCTGCTACAGTAGGCTCCCTCCCCAAACTTGCAATGTTTTATTAGTGTGTTTTTAGTTATCATCATCCTTCTTCTTCTTCTCGGTCAGTCCATCCATCCATCAACTCAGGTTAGGCACCCAAAGTCAAAAAGCTATTAGGTATTAGCACTAATTAGATTTTTGTTAACATGTTAAATGAGTAGTGAGCAAGAGAATACCTTTTATCCTCCATAAAAGAACAAGGTAACTAAAGATTCTGTTATCAAGTGATTTGTACACAATTAATGGTCACTTACATGAAATTACACCCTAATGGAAAATGCACTCCCAGTCTACTAATGAATGGTCCATGTCTATTTCAATATCCAGCGATTACCTTAACAAAGAGAACGTAAAACAATAAAAAAATTAGTGCTTTTTGTACACTCAATGTGTGTTCAATAAATAGATGTATAATATTTATGGTAAGTAAATTTTATATGAATTTTTTATTGCCAAAATAATAGTTAATTTCTTAAATTTCTTTCACATAATAATTGTTATATTGATAGTTATAATGCTTAGTATTAGGTATGTTTAAGGTAAATAATTAAAGTAAAACATGTTTTGGTCTATAAGAGTAAAATCGAAAGTTCAAAAAGTGACAAATAATGTTTACACTAAATTGCCCTTTATATATATTATATAGACTAATGTTAAGGGCATACCCAATGTACGTGCAGTTTAGAAATAATTATTAATGTTTATGAATATGTTAATTTTGTTTTTACAAAATTAGATTTTATATAAATTCTTCATAAAAAATTTGCAATTTATTAGTAACTTTTTCTTTAAAAACAGCTATAGTTTATTTGGTAGTTATAATATTTAAGGGAGTTATGGGAGATTATGTTAGCAAATCTGATTAGAAGAGTAAAAATTAATTTTTAAGGACAAAATAAAAAATTCATAAAATGACACAATATTTATGACAAAATAAAAAATTCATAAAATGACACAATATTTATTCCAACTGCCACCTCTCTCCATTTCCTATACATATATAAAAAGCAGTTTGCATCTGACTCTTGGGAATTTTTCATCTGTATTGTGGAAAAGTATTTTAGGTATTCTCTGTGGAGCAGTTTGTGGAGAGAAATAAGGATGATTCTCTATAGAGGTATTTTGGTTAGAGGCAAGTAGGGAGAAAACAGTGAAGCCTAACATACAATACAACATGGTAATACATTTGCCAATGTTGGTTGCCTATAATGCCCTCTTAAGTGGGCACATGGCTTTTGAATAATGAACTTAATGGCTTAAGTAGTCATTGAATTTGTCACTAATACAAATAGAAAATGGGAAAGCTGATGAAGTTACAAAAATACAATTCAATTTCTCTAAAGAATGGGAACCACACAAATGGTTAAGAGAATTGGAATGCTTGTAAAAGGGAGGACCGTTTGTTGGAGAGAGGTTTAATTGGAAAATCACTTGAGTAACCACAACAAGTGAAGTGATAAAGCTTTGTTGGAGCATCATCAAGTGAAGCATCATTTGCAGTTAATACAGGTGTTATTGCAATACTTTTGAATGGAAATTTTATACATATTAAAGAATCTTGGCTCACATATTTGTGGTCTGTTTGCTCTTTTGTTTAGAAATGTGTAGTCACTTCATGCTGTAATTTCACCATTTTTTATGTGTAGGAAATTAGAAAGCCAAATAGATATTACGTACATAGAAAGTTGCATATATATATATATATATATATATATATGATTATGCATGTTCACCTATTCCACAACTTCCGTCCGTCTCACTCACTACCGTGTCCAACTTGCAAATCCACGACTTTAGACCCCAAAAACATGCATACAAGTAATTACCAAGTATCAGACCATTCCTCTGCTCTATCAACAACCAAAATCCATTTCACCTACACAACCTTCTATCCCATCCTATCCACCACTCAAAAATACCACATTCGTTGAATTGGAGAAAAAAAAATAGGAGAACTTACAATCTATGGACTTGATACTCACAAGGGAAGTTAAAACTGATAACAAAAAAAAGTAAGGGAAAAAAATTCAGTCGACAAGAAATAACTGAAAGCAAACGAACTTACAACTAAAATCTGTGAACGCTAAATCAGAAGCTCTTCTGCACCAATTCTTTCAAAGTGCAATTAAACCCCTGAAGAAACTTGGCAACCAAAATAGAAAATATATAGATTATCCAATCTCTTCAAGACTCGTGCGGAAAAATATTAGGCATAGAACATGAGTAGTTACCTTTACTCGGAAATGTTGTAGAGCAAAAGGAGGAAGAACCGTTGATTTTTTTTGTGAGTAGTGTTTGTGTTCCTAATGTATATAAAGACACAAACTCTATCAGTTGTTAGGAATTTTTCTTTCACTGTCAATAATTTGCCAAGTGGGCAACAGAAATAAAAACAAAAGGAGAAATTTATATCCCTAGCAATGGTATTAGGCATCATGAAGACAATAGATAACAACACAAAATTGATGAGTTGTTAAGAGATTTTTCTTGTCACTCTTGATAATTTGTGAATTGGCAAATGAAAAGGAAGGTAAAAGGACAAACCTATATCTCTAGTAATAGATAGAAATCATACCTCATACCTGACTCTTTGTGGAATAATCGCATGGTTGGGATATGGATGGGCAGCCACAATTGACTCTCTGTGGAGGAATACTACGATTGGGATGTGGATGAGCAACCATAATTTGGGGGAAAAGTGGGGAAAGGGAATGAGAGCCAGTGGATGATTTTTGCCTTCACATTTGTTTTTTTTCCATTAAAAAAGGTAAGAAATGAATGCATCAGTCCACCGACCAATCAGCCAAAGAAAAAGCCCGTATGTACAAAACATCAAATTTAGGCTCAAGACATTAAAAAACGGGAAACAGAGAGAGAGAGAGAGAATAATCGCATGGTTGGGATATGGATGGGCAGCCACAATTGACTCTTTGTGGAACAATACCACGATTGGGATATGGATGAGCAGAAAGAGAGATTGGGATATGGATTTGGCTTCTTGTCACTTTTCTTCATTGAACCAGAAAGAGAAGAAAAGAAAAATAAAGAAACGGGAAAGAGAGAGAGAGAGAGAGAGAAAGGAAGAAGAAAACAAAAAATGATGGGCTAAAGTTGTAAAATGAACTGCATCTGGAGTGTTTTGCTTTCCTGCCATCGGTGCACTTCCAAATTTTTATTTGACTTTTTGACTCCTATGGGCTAAAGTTGTAAAAATGAAGTAGAAATGGAGTGTTTTGCTTTCCTGCCACATCGGTGCACTTCCAGATTTTTATTTGACTGTTTGACTCCTATGACTTCTTGTCTTTGATAACGGAGACAAAGAAGTGAAGAACAACAGAGGTGATGGCAACTACATCTAAGAAAAGATGGCAACTGAGAAATAAAGCAAAAGGCTATTCACGAGAAGTCAAAAATAGCCCTCAACAGTTAATTACTATTTTGGAGCTAGTTATTTTTATTTGGGCAAGGTAGTAATTTCATGCAAAAAGACAAAAATGACCTCAACAGCAATACACTGTTTGGAGAATCACTCAATATTCTCAGGGCATAAACGGAAGAAAATTTTCCTCCCTCTCCTCAGCCCGCCACCTGGCTGAACTTGGGAGAAGAAGTCTTAGCTTTTTATATATATGTAAGATACTAGAAACTTTTTCGGCTGTGCAAGGCATAGCAAATGCCCAATGTGTTGGGCTAAATATGCAGGAGAGGTATTTGGTTTTCCTATATAGATGTATGGAGAAGCATATCATAAATTTTAAACATAAAAAATTAAACTACTCGTTTGGAACCTTAAAAAATACTGATCTGATTAGATGATGATTCATTTAAGTTGAATAGAACGCCTAACGATGAAATTGTTGTGCAAAGAATATAGTTGACAACATACAGAATGTAAACCATCCTCATTGGACCATTTACTCATTGCAATAGTTGCACCATTTTATATGTGCTAGCATTTCTGGTTGTAGTTACCAGCTTAACTTCTATTTTTGCATGAGCACAAAAAAATCTTGATTCGTACAATAGCTCATTCACTCAACGCATAACCCATTAACATGTTTGAACTGACTCTATCTTCCCAATTTCGAGCAAAAACTAAAATATCTGTCCCCTAGAAATCATTTCACTCTAGCAAGTGAAGGACCTCTGGAGTAAAAACAGCAACTTCTGATTTCAACCACTCAAAGCAAGGGCTCAGGCCCTAACAGAACCTAGCCGGATAGTCCTTGAGATAAACCTCTCTACCGTTTCCGATAATATAGAAATTGAAAGAGCAATTATGATGGGCCATAGTCACATGAGTGACTGGGACAACAGAGATGATATGTCTCTCACTATAACCCTTGCAGTATGAGGGACCGAAGCCCTTTCTGCAGTTACTTCAGAGGAAAGCTTGCTGAGGAAGAATGAATCGGCAAAAAAGGTAGGAGTGCATTGGTAGGCTTGGGTATTGCACAACTGGATGCCTTGCACTCTGTGGAAAACATCGTCAGGAACTGTAGCAGCTCTACTTGTTGCACTCACTTTTCGAGTTGAAAGTGTCTTCCTGGACAGCCAAAAACACAGACAAAATGCATAATCGGTACTTAAAACAATTCTGTTTTCCTTTATTTCTCCATCATGGCACAACTATGAGACAGATTGAAATAGGCAAACAGCATAACTTGAAGGAATGCCATGCAAGAAACAACAAAATTGAAACAATAAATCTTGTGGACAGAGTGATTTCACATTTTCTGATCGGGTTCACTAAAGCTCTTTTAGCTTTGGTAGAGATCTCAACATAGCATCCAAACGCATAAATCACAAGCCAAAGTTGTTGTAGGCTTAAGTGACCTAGTACGCATGTCCATAGGGTCTACTTGGCCATCCATGACAATTACTTCAAAGAAGGGTTTCAAGCCTAACACATTTAAGTTTGTCCAATGAAAATTGTATGAATACTTGACTTGCCATTCTTGAATGATCTTGAATGAACCAACATACTTTCCATTCTTGAATGAACCAACAAATTGAAAAAGTAGTTATAAAATTATTCAAAAGAAATCAGATGGCACTGCTTCAATATCTGGCCCTGAATTGACTGTCCAATGGATCATGGACTAATAGCCCTTACCTATGAGGAATGTGCATAGGGACCAACTTTTAATGACAAACTGAACCCCAACTTTTACTTAGTTATGTTCTTTTAGCATTTTAACAATTTTTCTCCCAAAATGCTTCAGGCTAGATTGAAAATCAATTTACCTGTCATGATAACAAGTTCATTTAGTTATGTTCTTTTAAACTAAATCCAAAATGTTCTTTTAGTTATGTCCTAAAGTCTGTAAGAGCTATGGCATGCCAAATATATTGTGCAAAACAACATAGGCCATACCATCTCATAACAGCCACTTTGCGAGTCAAAAGAGAACCACCACCCATGCACGTCACACATTTGATAGGCCCATAAGAATCACAAGTTACTCAAGGCACCATACACTTTCCATTACATTTTAAGCATCTGCACGGAGATTTTTCGACAAGCTATCAGCTAAATAGAAAAACTTATATCCAATAACAATAATTGCAGAGAGAAAGCTGCCAACGATCAAGATGGGCCTAATATAGCTAAATTGTGAAGTGTGTAACTTTCAGTTTATGGTATGAACTCTCCCTACGGATACAACAAAGTCAGAGTATGAAATACAACTTTACATTGTATCAAACCCATCTCTAAGCAATTAGACCCCTCCCATAGCACGTAGGACAATGCATCATTTTATTTTCTTATTTATCTCCCAAAGGCAGAGCATTATTCTTTTCAAAACTTTCTATTGCAGGAACCTCTGATAAGCCTATGTAATCATGTTCCTCAAAAGGCATAGACATCAAAGTTATTTTTAAGAAATCTTAGCTCAGCCACAAAAAAGATTCTGGAAAAGTAACGAAAAGATGAAAAGTTGAAAGTATACATGGACCAAATTGAACTTGAAAGGCATATAAAGGTTGAAAGAATGAACAAAATTTTTCAAAAATCGAACTAAAAGATCAAAATTAAACTTCCATATGACATCTATCACCAGCAAAAATATAGTGAACGTCAACATAGAATGAGCAACATGAGATCAAGATCAGAACCAAAAAAGGTCGAAAAGGAAAGATAAAGTGCCCTAGAAAACACAAAAAGAATTGGCCGTAGAAGAAAAAAAGATATAGAGCAAAATAGAATTTACCTGTGTAATCTTTCTCTCCACGTTTTCTCTACTAATTATCCCAAGTTTCATATAGACATTTCATCAAACGCTTGATAGTCATTAGCCTATGAGATTTCACATACTTTACTTGTTTGAACATCTGTATTTGCTTGCAACTAAAACAAACACCACCAACCAAAAAAAAAAACTCAAACATCAGAACATTATTTAATAAAAAAGATGAGAAAAAGAAATAACAAAATGAAGAACATTTAATCAAAAACTTAAAAAAATGAAACAAACCTTGTCAATGAAGATAAAATCCAAAAAGAGACTATGATCAATAATGTGTATACATTAGTTTCTTTATTTATCTACTATTGTTATTTGTTATGTAAAGAAATTAACAAAAAGTAAAGAAAAAATCTGTCTTACCCAAGGAGGCACCAGAGAAAAAGCAGCGAAGAGCAAGGTGGGATTTTTTGCTGCTCCTATTTCCTTCCAATAGTAAAAGCTCAGATTGCAAGACAAAATAAGGAGTGATAAATATGTCTGTTCTCTTTCTGATTCCATATTTCCCCAAAACGTAAAGCCCTAAATTGCTAAGAAGGCTATCTGTCATCATAACTAGAAAATCGATCAAATCTGCAAAAATGTCTTATTTGCAATAATCACATGATTGAGAGATGAGATAGAATACGATCTTTGTGAATCAAAAGACCAGCCAAAATTTGGGAAAAAAAGTTGTTGACAGAGGAATACCGCAACTGAACCACTGAACAGAGTTGGCAATCTAAATAGCATGTAGAAGAATCCTATCAGTCAACGTAAAACTATGCAAACTATCTAATAAGTCTAATACTGACAGAGGAAAAAATTAGACAAAAAGAAAGGCGTAATTAGTTTTAGTAGGAAAGATTGCAGAGATACAATCATTTTCAGCCATATTCAGTCAATAAGTGAAACCAAATGAACTTACAACCCAAAAACTACAGTCATTTTAAGCCACGAAACAACACACTTCTATTGCTTACCAGACAATCTGGCTCCATTAGGTCTGCACATTTTTTCATGCAAATATTAGGTTGTATGGTTCAAAGTTCGTCAAGAAACATATTTCATCAAGGAAACCTCGTGTTTTTTTTTTAATGTTCCAACTTTATAGATACTCGGATTTAGAGAAATTGCCACAGATTCTGCAATCTTTAATTGGGTGTAATAGTATTCATAGAACCGATTATGCATCATTAACTGTATCCAAAATACGTGAATATTAATAGATCAGCCACCATGTTATGGTTTTAAAATTTGAGAGTTCTGTGGAACCAGGAACGTTGCATTTAGAAATAGTTTTGAAGAATTAATATACCACATCTCTAAGCCAGCTACAACAAATTCTAGAAACTCAATATTAGCATTATCAGTTTTAAGTTTTGTTTCTTCTATTGCCTACCTAACTTTTGTGCATAATACCTTCAACGTGGGGCAAAACCTTAATGTGTAAGACTCTTTATCTTTTATTCTCAGCTTACACTTCAGATTGAGAATTGAACTTGTTTTAGCTTGGTTATCTCTATTCAGTAAGTGGTGACAACCCTTCCTTCATAATCAGTTGTACATATTATTAACAGGAAAAGAAAAGGCAAGAAACTGAAGGACTGAAGAGAGTGACCTGAAATTGAAGCAACTGCTTACTGGAAATCTGTGGACGCTTAATCAGAAGTTTTTCTGCACCAATTGTTTCAAAGTGCAATTAATCCCCTCAAGAAATTTGGCAATCAAAATAACAAGTAGACAGATTATCCAATGTCTTTAATACTGGTAGGGAAAAAAAATTAAACAAAGAAGAGTAGTAGTTACCTTTAGTATAAAAGGTTGCAGAGGACAAGGTTGAAGAAACGTGAAGTTTTTTGTGACCAGTATTTTTGTTCTTTATAGAGGCACAAACTTTCCTTCATTCTAGATAATTTGCCAAGTGGTCAACAATAAGGAAAAGAAAAGGACAAACCTATATCTCTAGCAATGGTATTAGCCATCATGAATAGAGCGGATAAAACCACTGGGCCAATGGTTCAGTGGCCTCCAGGGAGGGACTTAAGGGCTATTGGTAAGAGTTCAAACCTCACCAGCAGCGAAAAAAATCTAAGGGTTGTGCCATAGCACTCCCTTGGTCTAGTTGGATTTGTATACCCACTAACCCCTACAACAGCCTCCTTAGACTCCCCTTCCCCCTAAATTAGAATAGAGTAGGTTATACAAATGTATCGTTGCTGACAAAAAAAAAAAAGAATAGAGCGGATAAAGATGCAAACTGATAAATTGTCAGAGATTTTTCTTTTCAATCTCGATAATTTCTCAACCAGAAAATGAAAATGAATACAAAAGGACAAATCACAATCCTATGGTTGGGATGTGATAGAGAGCAAAGAAGTAAAAAAATTGGATGGATAGCCATAATTTAAGGAAGAAAATCATGAAATGATTGACTGAGTGATCTGGAAACAACAGGAGGGGGAAAGTAAAGAACGGCAAACAAAAAAAAAGAGACAAAGCAAGAGGAAAAGAATGGTTGGGGACAGCTGCAATTTAGCGAAGCCAATCCTGAAATTGTTGACCAATTGTTGGAGGAAGCAGGTGGACAACCCATTTCTTAGCTACTGTTTCTAAAAGCTATTCAGCTGCTTCTGTACTTTTTTTCCACCGAAGAGAACAATAGTCCAAGAAACGGGAACAATGAAAAGGAAAGGAGGATTATCATCTTTTGTGGAACAATCCCACAGTTCAGATATGGATGGGCAGCCATAATTGACTTTTTGTGGGAGAAAAGAAAGCTGAAAGAAAAATTAACGGGAAACAGAGAGAGATAGAAAGGAAGAAGAAAACAAAAGATGATGGGCTAAAGTTGTAAAATGAAGTAGAAAGTGAGTGTTTTGCTTTCCTGCCATCGGTGCACTTCCAGATTTTTATTTGACTTTTTGATTCTTATGGACTAAAGTTGTAAAAATGAAGTAGAAAGAGAGTGTTTTGCTTTCTTGTCACATCGATGCACTTCCAGATTTTTATTTGACTTTTTGACTCCTATGACTTCTTGTCTTTGATAACGAAGACAAAGAAGTGAAGAACAACAGAGATAATGGCAATTACGTCTAAGTAAAGATGACAACTGAGAAATAAAGCAAAAAACTATTCGCGAGAAATCAAAAATAGCCCTTAACAGTAAGTTACTGTTTTGGGGCTAGTTATTTTTATCTGAGTAAGGTAGTAATTTCATAGAAAAAGTAAAAAATGACCTCAACAGTGATACGCAAGGTAGTAATTTCATAGAAAAAGACAAAAATGACCTCAACAGTGATACACTGTTTGGAGAACCACTCAATATTCTCAGGGCATAAATGGAAGAAAATTTTCCTCCCTCTCCTCGTCCCGTCACGTGGCTGAACCTGGGCGAAGAAGTCTTAGCTTTTTATATATATATATGTAAGATATGTAAGAAATACTCCCTTCAGCCCATACTATTTGTATCTCTCTTATCTTTCTTGAATTTTCCTCCTGCAAATGGATCAGATTCAACACAAGTTCATTGAAGTGAACGGGCTGAAGCTCCATGTAGCTGAGATTGGAGAAAATGAATCGAAAGCTGTATTGTTCTGTCATGGGTTTCCAGAGATTTGGTATTCTTGGCGTCATCAGATGGTTGCAGTAGCCAAAGCTGGTTATAGAGCCATTGCACCCGATTACAGAGGATATGGACTATCCGACCCACCATCTGTACCCCAGGAGGCTACCTACTCTGACTTCATCAGTGATCTTTATTCCCTCCTTGATGTTCTGGGCATTTCCAAGGTACCTTTCTTCTGCCAAATGGAGTCTGTATCCTTTTACATTTTTTTTTGGGTTTCATGTTTCTCATTCAAAAGAGGATGATATAAGGCGCCTCACAAAGTGTATGGGCACAAATTAAGACTAATAATGAGAAAATCTAGTTGAGTTTCCAGGGAGCTTATGGAGATCAGACTAGTTTGACTAGATTTGTGCGATCCATATTGAATTCTCTGCTTTGCATTCGTCCTAAATAATCACCAAGTGGGAGTACTATAGTAATTGTTCATTATTTGGCATTAAGTTTTGGTTGTTTTGATGCTGACAAAGAATAAATGAAAGGTATCAAAGAAAAAATTGCAGTTTTGATACCAAATGTGTTGACCATCGGCAGTTTTAGACTTTTATTCTCTAAAAGTATGGACGAGAGAAAATCTAGTACCAAATCAAATGTTTCAATTTTTAAGCACATTTAGTCCAGTTGATTAGTTTTGGCAAATTGTTATCGAAATCTGGTCGGGTCGCGTGGGAAGCACGTTCGGGTAGGTAAATTTTGAAAAGAAAAAAGGAAAAAGTTGTTGATCATAATTTGTAATTAATGGGCGCTAATTAGTCACATGCCAAGTAATTAGTCTAATTAAATGGCACTAATTAGTGCCCTTTAATTACAGATTATGGCCACCAACATTTTTTTTTTTTTTAAAACTTTTGTTAAAATGTATCCACGGTCATGTGGGCAGCACATGACCGGATTCCGGTAACAATTTGTCAAAATCGTTAATTGGATTAAACGTGCTTAAAAATTGAAACATTTGGTTTTGGATTTGCTTTCGTCCAAACTTTAGGATCTAAAATTGCTAATGTTCCAAGTATTTGATACCAAAACTACAATTTTCTCTATCTTAAAATTCAGGGGGAATGTGAAACCAATATAAGTTCTACCCATGGTTCGAAGTCTCGGCCAAGACCGAGACGACTCGGCCGAGTCGTCACCGTCTCGGCCCCTACCGATACGATACCGTGACGAAACGATACCGAAATACTTGACTCGCCGAGAAATCGGCCGAGTCGTCACCATGACGGATTGACTCGGCCGAGTTACTCCGAGTTATCCTGAGTCAAGACGAGAAATCAGCCGAGTCACACCGCGACGGATTGACTTGGCCATTTCTTTTGCTATTTTTTAATTATTTTTATTTAGCCTACTTTTTTATATTATTAACAATTTTTAGAATATTAAATACTTTAAAATTTGCGTCTCACCGAGACCGCGACCGATATGCCGAGACCGATGTGGAACGTTCCGGGCCGCGCCCGTGACCGCGCCCGTGACTTTAAACCATGGTTCTACCACCAACCCACCAGGAGATCAAAATGATCGTGTTATAAACAGGTTTTTCTCATAGCTAAAGATTTTGGCTTTCATTTATCTCAATAAAAAGATCATGGAAGGTGTCTCGCATGGTATATGCGCGACTCAAATCAGGATTAATGAGAAAATATGATCTAGCTTTCGAGAGAGCTTATGGATATTAGACTGGTTTGATTAGATTTCTGCCATTCACATTTGCATTCTCTGTTCTGCACTCATCCAAAATAACCAAATGGAGGGAGTACATGGAAAATGACATGGTAATTGTTCGTTGTCCGACATAAGTTTCAGTAATTTTGTAGCTGACGAAGAAGAAAATGAAAACTCTGTTGAAATTCGGGGGAAATGTAACCAATTTTAATATCTAGCACCAACTCACCAATTACTAGCAGATCAATATGAAAAAGTAGTAGGTAAGTCCCCATCTTACACGAACGTGGATTAAGGTTGATTGTTGTTTGTATGCTAGATGATTTCTACTTGCTGCAATTTGTTGGTGTTTTTCAGGAGCTTGTATCACGTGTATATCTTTGTGTTGTACACAGGTTTTTCTCATAGCGAAAGATTTTGGAGCTAGGGTTGCATACCTTTTTGTGCTTCTCCACCCAGAGAGGGTTGCAGGAGTTGTGACTTTGGGTATACCTTTCCTCCCACCAGTTCTTCCTCCACTGAAAGAGGGCCTTCCTGAAGGCTTCTATATGGCTAGATGGGAGGTATGAAAGTCTCTTTCTTCACTTTTTTTTTTTTTTTTTTTGACACTTTTCTTTCTGGTGGTACATTTATGAAATTTTGGGATGGGATGGTGAATCTTGAAACCATTTTCAGCATAATCCAAAGTAAAGGTTTCCAAGTTTCAGCAAACGCTTGCTCTTTTATGTGGCAAGGTTTCCAAGTTTCAGGAAACCCTTGCTCTTTTATGTAGCAAAATAGAAGAGGAAACCTATGCATCTCAAGAGAGTTTTCCACTATAGGAAAAATGTCAATGCATCTCAATAAATATCTCTATCTTAGGAACCTGGAAGAGCTGAAGCTGATTTTGGTCGACTTGATCCTAAAACAGTCGTGCGCAACATCTATATCCTGTTCTCCAGACCTGACGTACCAGTAGCTGAGAAAAATCAGGAGATAATGGATTTAGTGGATTCATCTACTCCTCTACCCTCTTGGTTCACCGAAGAAGATCTTGCAAATTATGGTGCTCTCTATGAAAAATCTGGATTCCAAACTGCTCTAAAGGTTCCATATAGGTAAGCGAATAAAAATACTTCTCATTTAAAACGTTACCAATTTCTTACATGCTCTCTTTATCCTGAAATCATTGTGCCACAACGCTAGATTATAGTTGTGATTGTTCACTCAAGATCTCTTAGCTCATCTAAACAACAGGGTAGCTAAAAGTACTGGATGGTGGCTCTAGAAACTAGTTTCGTGCTTTGGTAAGGAATTAGTCAGTTAGCATAATGCACATTTCTTTGTAGGTCACTGCAAGAAGTGTTCGACGTACCAGAAGTCAAGGTTGATGCTCCTGCACTGTTGATAATGGGTGAAAAAGATTATTGCATCAAATTCCCAAGTATGGGGGGCTATATTAGAAGTGATCAAGCTAAAATGTTTGTTCCCAGGTTGGAGACAGTATTCATTCCCGAAGGTAGCCACTTTGTTCAAGAACAATTTCCGGGCCAAGTGAATGAGCTGATACTCAATTTCTTAAAGACCCATAGTTAATCTATATGTGCAACAAAAACGGTCCATAGCTCCTGAACTGTTTGATGCTCTGTTTTTGGTGGTTTGGAGGCTGAATGCTGTAGTTCATTGAAGTTACTTTTCCTGCAAATCTCGTCTTTACTACTTATCTAAGGCCATTTACTTTTCTAAAAGATCTTATCCATGAAGACACAGGAGATTTTCTCCTGTTAAAAAGACCAAGATTTTCGCGGTCTGCATCCATACACCTACTTGGTTCACGAAATATGAAGTACCTATTGTATTGTATGCTTTCCCTTGAGTTTGTTCGTTTGCCGAGTTCAATAAAAGAGGCTACATTTAATTGAAATTGACAAGGATACAGGAATTGAATAGGACTTCATTTTTGGCCTCGCTTGTTCAACTTTTCATCACTGTTGTCTGTGTTTTACAAGGATCTGGGATGGGAAATTGCTACATGCCAATCTTAAAGGCATGGTGGAAAATGCTACATTTGCCGAATCAGTGCATTCATGCATGCAACATTAAACTAAGGTACATTTATTTTCGTCCACGAAGGATACAGATTTACAAAGGCCTCCTAGAAGCATTTTGCAAGAACTTGGCAAATTCCCAATCCCAAGTAGTAGCCTGCCCCAGAAGGAATACGAACAAACAAGAAACAACCAACATATGATGCCCTGAAAACCGATTGTAAGTTATAGCTCTTCCCAACAGTATTAACTCCAGTGATGAAAGAATCAAATTTTATTCATTAGACCGTGTGAAATGACGTGCTAGCAGGCTAGAAAAGGAAAGTAAACGCAGTATATATCATTTAGACTTGCCCTGGAGTCTCAAGGTAAATGCATATAAAGACAAAAGAACCTCTTTCAACCTCTCTCTGACTTCCCCATCGATCAAGTTACCATCTTCATCACACTTTTGGGGCGGGGCTAAAGGCCTCCGGAGGAAAAACTCAGGCTTATTGACGAAATGAAGATTAAGAAAGACTCCAATCTGGCGGACATGATACTGTTGAAGAGCCCCACCAGTACCTCCGGCAGCACCCACAAGTGCAGCAGCCTTATCAGCCCAAACATTGGGGGGTCTTGATCCCCAATCGATAGCATTTTTCAGAGGTGCAGTGACAGAGTAGTTGTAGTCTGGCGAAGCAAAAAGAACGCTATCTGCTTGGCGAATCTTATCCCGAAAAGCCTCAACTTCTGGGGGAAAAGTCCCATTCACTTCTAAATCTGTATTCAACAATGGTAAAGGTGAAATGTCTATATACTCTATGATCATGCCACCTATTGACTCCTTGGATATCTCAATTGCTGCACGGATGAGGCCTCGATTACAAGAGCCCTTACGGAGGGAGCCACAGATGGCTGCAACTCTGATGGGGGCTTTTTCGGGCACGGCTGGAGAATTGGTTTTTGCTGCCTCTTCCATGATTGATTCAGACAAACCCAAGAAAGACTGACCGATAATAGAAGACTAGAATGTCGCACAAAATTCAGCTATCGTGTTGTCTTGAACAGACAACATCTCATATCTAATCTAGTTCATTAGTTTGGATTGGGCGGGCCTATATATGGCAGTGCTTCAGCCTTGAGCTGTCGTCAGGCCTGACTTCAACAGTTCAACAGCAAAAGATCGTGTGACTTCAACAGCCTTGGGATCTAATTTTTATAACTTTTATTAATGTTCATGACAATTACAGATTACGAAATTAATTTCACTGTTAATCACAACAGGTCAAACTCGTGTTTTTTTTGTTTTTAATCTTTTTGTTGCGTGCCCTCCAGTGCTATACTAAAAGATAAAATTCAAACCCACATTATTCCAAGAGTGACGGCTCCTAATTATACGAAGGAAGCAAAAGAAAACAATTTCCTGCAGACCTTTTGAAAATATTCGAGTTTCACGATTCCTACTATGAATTCGCTACTGAATATAGACTGGTTGTGGGGAAAATTAGTTTGACTTCTGAAGAGAAATTGTGACACGTGAACAGTTTTAATCCCCATATTTTAGTTTTAGTATCCAAATTTTGACACACGAGCAGTTTTAATTCCCAAATTTTAATTTTAGTTTTAACAACGTAATCTCGACATAAGCCCTTAGGAAAGTTGTAAACATGGATCTTGCGTTTCCAAATGGATTTGGCCTTGCATCCATTTAACGACTATAACTCTTAGATATGAAGCAAAAATCATGACTAATTCACGATGGAATGATCAATATGACGTTCTAATTTCTCATCCGTTTTCGACCCATCATACATTCAAATCGGGTTTGGGTGCTTTCCCGACAATTCTTGATCTTGGTCTTTGCTTTTCAGTGCACTAAAAATCATCTTAAATGGAGGGGTTTTTTTTTCTTTTTTTTTTTTCAAATGGAGGCTTAGAACTCCAGGTACAGGCAAAATTCTGAATTGAACGGTCAATTTTGATCAAATAGACTCTTTATACTCCAAAACCAAATCATGAAATATAGCATATATCATTTTATTAAGCATTTAACTTCAACAAAAGACTAAATGTAATAGAAAAATATGTAAACTTGGCACTAATTAGCTCATTTGGTGTGTAAAATACACCCCCAACCCCCCCCCCCCCAAGGGGCAATTTAAAAAAAAAAAGTGAGTCCCCAGGGGCCAAGCGGCTTATATACGGTAGTAATTCTGTCTTGTTTGGAATGAGTCCCCTGGATTTATGAAATTGAAACGAGCTCCCCTCATGTTTGGAGAATTAGACATATGTGGGGTGTGCAAAGTCGAAAAATTTTGATTTCAGAATTGATTTCGAATTTAATTCGGAATTTTGAAATCGAAATTTCAATAATTTGGAAGTTAATTCGGTAATTCCAATTTCGACATTTCGAATTGAATTCGAAAATCTAATTTTTGAAATCAAAATTATCGATTTCGAATTGGATAATTTGAAATAGGAATTCAAAATCGAAAATTCGAAATCGAATTCGAATAATAATATTTATATATAATATAATAGTTTTTAACAATACAGATAATATAAATAGTTTTTAACAAAAACCCCCTAATCTATTAACTCACCTCACTACCTCAGGACTCTTCCGCCGCCTGACTCCGCTGTCTCACAGACTCACACTCTCACTCACCTTCCTTCGTCCTTCCTAGTTCCTCCGCCTCCAACTCAGCTTTGCCGCTTCTTCCTTCCTTCCTTCCTCTCACCTTCCTTCTTTCGGCCCTTCCACTGGGGTGCTTTGCCGTCTAATGTGCTGAACCTCCATTGACCTCGAGTCCATGACCCGCTGCCCCAATTTCTCCCACCCAGCAAAACAGTCCAAGGCACTGAAGGCAGAAAGCCAAGAACTAAAGCAAAAAATTTAGCTAATCTCCGCAGAGTTTGCAAAGGAGGCAATAGCTTGGCTTCTTCTGAAGAATACAGTCTAAAGCGGCAAGGCGGAGACCAGAGACTGATGGGTTTTCATATACTCCCATGTTTCTGCAGCCACAAAACAAAAGTGAAACAAACAATATTATACTAATATCAATTTCTCCGACCTTTTACTTCTTTTTTTTTTCCTTTTTTTGGCCAGCAGAATAATTTTTTTTTTTTTAAGGAGGAAGAGAACTGTAAGTGACAATTAATTTCACTGATTATTTTGCTAGCTCGATTTTCTTCTGGAGAACAATTCATCCAATCATTTATTCTTATTGGCTGGTCATTTACCTCCTAGTTGAAAACAACGAAATACGACAATTTTTCTGGTAGAAGAAGCCAAGAAGGGAGGATAGCAAAGAAACCTAATTCGGTATCGAATTCGAAATCGAAATTAGTCATTTCGAAATCGAATTCGGTCGAAAAAATTTCAGTCAAAATTTTGAAAATTTTCAATTTCAAACTACTAAATTATCATTCAACGAAATACGACAATTTTTCTGGTAGAAGAAGCCAAGAAGGGAGGATAGCAAAGAAACCTAATTCGGTATCGAATTCGAAATCGAAATTAGTCATTTCGAAATCGAATTCGGTCGAAAAAATTTCAGTCAAAATTTTGAAAATTTTCAATTTCAAACTACTAAATTATCATTCAACGAAATACGACAATTTTTCTGGTAGAAGAAGCCAAGAAGGGAGGATAGCAAAGAAACCTAATTCGGTATCGAATTCGAAATCGAAATTAGTCATTTCGAAATCGAATTCGGTCGAAAAAATTTCAGTCAAAATTTTGAAAATTTTCAATTTCAAACTACTAAATTATCATTCAACGAAATACGACAATTTTTCTGGTAGAAGAAGCCAAGAAGGGAGGATAGCAAAGAAACCTAATTCGGTATCGAATTCGAAATCGAAATTAGTCATTTCGAAATCGAATTCGGTCGAAAAAATTTCAGTCAAAATTTTGAAAATTTTCAATTTCAAACTACTAAATTATCATTTTCGATTTCGATGCACACCCTACAGTACGTCCATTAAATACTACAAAGATCGTAAAGTTTATTGGATTCATTAACAATCGCAACAGTGGATAAGATACGCTTTGTTTCTGTCCAAGAAGGATACCTAATTACAACAACCTAAGGATGGAATTCTGGTTTGCAATTTCAGAAGCATTTTGCAAGAACTTGGCAATTTTTCCAAATACTAGTATATATGTATCATTTCGACTTGCCCTGGAGTCTCAAGGTAAATGCATACAAAGACAAAAGAACCTCCTTCAATTTCTCTCTGATTTCCTCATCGATCAAGTTACCATCCCTATCACACTTCTGGGGCGGGGCTAAAGGCCTCCGGAGGAAAAACTCAGGCTTATTGATGAAGTGAAGATCAAGAAAAACTCCAATCTGACGGATGTGATATTGTTGTCTATTCCCACCAGAACCTCCTGCAGCACTCACAAGTGCAGCAGCCTTATCAGCCCAAACATTGGGGGGTCTCGATCCCCAGTCGATAGCATTTTTCAGGGGTCCGGACACCGAATAATTGTACTCCGGGGAAGCAAAAAGAATACCATCTGCTCGGCGGATCTTATCCCGAAAAGCCTCAACTTCTGGGGGATAAGTCCCATCAACTTCTAAATCTGTATTCAAGAATGGTAAGGATGATATGTCTGTATACTCTATGATCATGCCGTCTATTGACTTGCTGGATATCTCGATGGCTGCACGGATGAGGCCTCGATTGCAAGAGCCCTTACGGAGGGAGCCACAGATAGCTGCAACTCTGATGGGCGCCTTTACCAGAACTGCTGGAGAATTGCTGGTCGCTCCTTCCATATTTGTTTCAGAAAATGCCAAGACAGACAGACCCACCACAAGCAACGTCCATGTTTTTTTTTTTTTTGGGGGTATCACCTGCTTCGTACCTTTATAATGCTGCTATTGGCTATTAATTGGAGTAGTACATTATGGGGGCCTTTGCGACTTTCTGGTCCTTGTGGAATCATCCAATTTTATGAAATGAGTGGACAGAGTGAGTAACTGGAGGATGGTATCGAGGAAACTGCATAAGCGTCTTCCTGTTTCTCTTGAAGTGTCATTGGTGGTATACGCTTATGTGGTTGTGCTTTCACTGGTTGCTTTGCTATCCTGTTAGAGTCCTATATTTGCTGTTTGGTTTACCATGCAAACATATATGGCAGTTTTGTAGTCTACCTTGCTGAGAAGATTTGCTTTGTGTTTTAACTTCTTAGTTGCATCTATTTTGCTTGACAACTTTAGACAAGATCAAATCCATTTAGGAATGGTGTGCTTCATGAGGGTCAAGAAGCAAAGGATCCTCGAGTGGAGCTGGCGGAATGTTTCGGCAGCGGTGTCAGCAAATTAATACTCCGTGACTTGACTTGGAGGCACATGGGATTTGATGTGATTCAGTCCGTGACTTGAGCCTTCATGCGGCTGTATTCAACCATTGAAATTGAAGGCATCAAATGAAATAATTTGCAGCAAGGACTTGCGTAGACCCGGCATCCCACTTAAAAATGGCCCAATCACAGTTTTCATACTTTTCATTTTGAAATATCTTAAAATATTTATCATATTGAAAAAATAAAAATATTTTTTAATCTCTTTTTTTAATATAACTTTTCTTTCTAATCATATACTCCCTCCGTCACACTTTGATAGTTCTATTTCTTTTTTCACACAGTTTAAGAAAAAATAGTTAATTTTATCGAAAAAGTAAATTTAGATTGCTATTTTTCTAAAATACCCTCACATTAAATAGAGCACAATTTTATGAGAACTTGAATTGATGGTAAAAAAAGAACCAACTCTCATTAAATGGGATGGGTTTATATTAACAACAACTTACATTAAATAAGGGTATTTTAGAAAAATTAAAATACAACTACATTCTTTAATTGAAAAGTGAACTACAATTTGAGACAGACAAAAAAGAAAAATAAGACTATCAAAGTGGGACGGAGGGAGTATATGTTATTATTTAAATTTAAATTTTAAATTCATTGAAATAAAATTAATAAAAAATATAAACATTACAATCAAATTTTATTTTTTAACAGTTGAAAGGCTAAGGTTGTGTTTGGATTGCATTTTCCGTCATTTTTCATGGAAAAATTACTGTAACGATTTGATATATGTGAGGGAAAAAGATGATAGGAAAATGTGATCACGGAAAACGACAATATTTTCCGACGGAAACAAGCAATCCAAACAAGGCATAAATAAATTGGGATAGAAGCACTAATAATGTTCACGGTGCTCAACAAAGCAGCGACGTGGCGCGAGGTGTTTGGCCATGATTTGACAATAAATAAACCTTTCTTCTAGCCATCAGTCAAAGTGATCCAAATAGGACAAGACCAAAAATTAAAGAATCTCCCACCTAACCCCGTCGAGAATTGTTTTCCGCTTACTATAACTTAAAAGTTAAAGAGCAAGTGCACGCCCAAGCCTTGCAGAAACGAATACTCCAGGATAGATAGACTGCAATAGTTACACTTAGCACACTTTACTCTTGTTCCCTCCCCTCCTTCTCGGGTTTTGTTTCGTGGCAATGGATCAAATACAGCACAAGCATATTGAAGTCAACGGTCTGAAGCTTCACATAGCTGAGATTGGAGGAGGATCGAAAGCAGTGTTGTTCTGTCATGGGTTTCCGGAGATCTGGTATTCTTGGCGCCACCAAATGATTGCTGTGGCCAAGGCTGGCTACAGAGCAATTGCTCCAGATTACAGAGGCTATGGACTCTCTGACCCTCCAACCGTGCCCGGGGATGCTACCTATGCTGATTTTGTCGATGATCTCCGCTCCCTTCTTGATGCTCTCGCCATTTCTAAGGTACTATTCTCCCCTTTCCCAATTCCCGGCCGACAATCTGCTATGAAGTAGTGTGTTTTTCTGCTCTCTCTCTCTCTCGCTCTATATATAGATATTCTGAACTCTATTTGCTGCTAGATAACTTTTGCTAGTTGAATTTGTTAGGAAGTGAAGGAAAATCAAAACATGGTGGTATTATTTCTTTTAGTGAAACAGTTCATGGCTTTGATAATTGTATGCATGTCGAGCCAATGGTAGTATAGATGCCTTCAAAATTTTCCACAATCTTGAGAAATGGTTTAACAATAAAAGAAAGAACAAGGACTTGAAAAAAAATGCTAGAATGATATTGCTAATATGCAAATCAAACATGGTCTTGACGACTTTCTTACATTTCCAGTTTAGATTTTCTGCACAGTAATCGTTGAAGTACCTTATCCGCGGAATAAATCATTAATCCGATGCAACTGGGGACTGACTTTCTTAGAAAGAAGAAGATAGATATGCTATCATACTCATTGCTCTGCCGTTTTGAGTGAAGTTGACATTAAACGTCTAGAGTACATAATGTAAAAGGAGTTGCTCTTTCACTTTTATATATATACATACATACAGACATACATGTATACACACACATGCGCATACCATTACGAGATTTTTTCAATTGATGTTTCCTTGTATGTTACGTGATTGAACTTTCTTTATTTGGATGCTTGCTCGTTTTGTGGAACATGAATGCCAAATCTGCATACCTTTGGAATACACAGGTTTTTCTCGTAGCTAAAGATTTTGGAGCCCGTGTTGCACAATATTTTGCCCTTCTCTACCCAAACAGGGTTGCTGGAGTTGTAACATTGGGCATACCTTTCGTGCCTCCAAAGCCCACTCCAATGCAAGACTTCCTTCCGGAAGGCTTTTATATATCCAGATGGATGGTACACAACAATCTTTGTTTCTAGCACCTTCTTTCTTTGTTATCTCCAGTAAGCGTGCTCAGTTTTCTTTAAAAGAATAGGAAAGTAATCATGGCATCTTACAAGATTTCTTGATTCTAGGAACCTGGAAGAGCAGAAGCAGATTTTGGTCGGTTTGATTGCAAAACAGTTGTGCGCAACATATATATCCTGTTCTCCAGGAGTGAAATACCAATAGCTAAAGAAAATCAGGAGATAATGGATATGGTGGATTCATCTACTCCTTTACCCTCTTGGTTCACTGAAGAAGATCTTGAAAACTATGGTGCACTATATGACAAATCTGGATTCCAAACTGCTCTACAAGTGCCTTACAGGTAAAAGAATTGTTACACTTTTTAAATTCATTGCAAGTGCATATATGTGTTACTCTTATACTACTGCCTAGATGAGATGATTATCAAGTAGCTAGTAGTCATGGTGTGGAACTGCTGCAACTCCTGCAATGAAGAGTTGCAAATGACAATATCATTTACCCCAATTTTTGAAACTCATGATCACAACTTTTGTGTCCACTATTGCAGTGATGATTCTCTATTCCAAGTTTGCAACTTGTAGCTTGCAACTCCACTACAAGCCGGCCAAAAACAGTGGGGGGTAGCTTATGGTCCTAGATATATCAATGTGCACACTTCTCTGAAAACTAGTGGTTGATTTGGTATATAACTTTATTTGTAGGGCGAACAGAGAGCTCAATACATCAGAAGTAAAGGTTGATGCTCCTGCACTGCTGATAATGGGTGAAAAAGATTACTTCCTTAAATTCCCGGGAATGGAGGACTACATAAGAAGCGAACAGACAAAATTTTTTGCTCCTAATCTGAAGACAGTTTATGTACCTGAAGGTAGCCACTTTGTTCAGGAGCAATTTCCAGATCAAGTGAATGGGCTGATACTCAATTTCCTCAAGACCCATAGTTGATCTAGACATGCAAGTTGGTTGGTAGCAGGCTTAATTTCTGACGCCCTGTTGTCCAAGGTTCTAAAGTTCATTGGCTGCTGCCATGCTATATTGAAGTCATGGACATTTTGTGTTTTCTTCCTGTCAATTTCATCCACAACTTTTCTGCTAAACTAGCTCATGGCATTCAGCTTTTGCCATTGTTGTAGTTTGCACTACAAATCCTTCAATAAATTATCATTACCTGCAGGACCGGTTCTTATTCTCAATTTCTTTCGAACTTTACACTTTAAGTTATGCAAAATTTAGATTACCAGCATTTCCATTTGTTCTTTAGTCTATCCATGTTTATTAACTTTAATTGAATTATAAATTCACCAAAAGAAGGATATGCAACAATGACAACAGAAGGATGTGCTTACAAGAGCCTGGTTGTTGCAAAATGATGTGGAGTTTGGTTTTCCTTCTATGTCCCTAGGAAAGGAATGATCCAAAAGGAGTACTAAAATGTTTATGTTGGATTGATTGGAAAACTAATACACATAAATGACAATCAAAATGTTTTCTTTTCCTGAAATCATTCCTTCCCATTTAAATGTCAAGTTGGCAAATTATCCTAAATATTATTTTACTTACGTCACAAATATGATTTTTCATCAATTTTTTATAACATATAAATAACATTATAAAAGAAGCTATAGTAATTATTTCAAATAATCTCCCATCCAAACACTAAATATTTGTTTGCCTATTTACGATATGCAACTTTTTTTTTTTTTTTTTTTGGCACTACGTCAGTTTTGCCAACCTTCTAGATATTTAAAGCAGGAATAGTTAAGAGGGAAAAAAAAAATGTTTGCCATCTTGAAGGGCAGAGATGTAACCTTAAAAGTTCACGATGACGTATTTTGCTGTATAATTTCAGAAATGTCCTCTTAAGGTTTCTAACAGTTTTACTTGGCACCTTCAAACTTTTTAAAAATCTCACTTGATTCCCTTAGCTTAAATTTCTTGTAACATTTAAATTCCATTTCAAAATATAATATTAAACAAGCTCTCATTTTGAGAGGGAGAATATAAATTCCAAATTTGTACTTAATTATTATAACAGACTAAATTTATCTCTTAATTTTTGTTAATTGATCAATATAGTTCTTTAATAAAAGTTCAAAAGTTGATAATAAGATCGAAAAACTCTTTAATAGTTTTGATGTCATTGGTTTGAACAAGAAATGTTAAATTACTTAAAATTATAAATGATTTACAATGCTCTTAAAACTAACTTGCCATAATTTACAACCAAAAGAATACCTTTTTGCACTAGCCTAAAAACAATATAAATAAGTTCATATATAAGTATCTTTTTTCTTTTCAAGCCATTGATTTAAAAAAATTGAAAAATTCAAAAATATGTAAAAAAATTATAAAACTTCTTAGATTAACTCAAGATAAGATATTTTCTATCTAACTTGCAAAAAATCAATAAACTTTCGAATATTAAACTTTTTGATATTTAAAAAAAATACTATATTTTATCCAATTAGAATAAACCTTCATACCTTTTATTCTTATTTTTCATTTGTTATCAATATGTTCACAGTTTGGTAATAAAAAGTAAGACAACAAAAGGACCAATTTGGAATGATACTAAATTTGCTCTTCCAAAATGGATTTTTTAATATTATATTTTAAATTGGATTGTAAATGAAACTAAAAAAAAACTAAAATAAAGGAGACAAGTAAGATTTTTTAAAGTTTGAGGGTGCCAACTGAACGTGACTGTTAGAAACCTCAAAGGAGGTTTTTGAGATTATCCCAATTTAATATTATCTTTGCAACCAAACTTCAAAGCAGGTGACAAACTGACAATTCAGCTCAGCTCACCAAAGTTGAATTATTCCCACCTAAGCAGCAGACAGGAACTCAAAAACTTTACAAGAAAGCAACCTTAGAATTGGAAGTACAGTATCAAACAAGTTTCTTTAGTTCCTCTCTGCATCGTTTTGGGATCTTCAGAAATGGATCAAATCCAACACAAGTTCATACAAGTTGACGATGGTGTAAAGCTTCACGTAGCTGAGATTGGAAGTGGGCCATCAGTTGTTCTGTTCCTTCACGGATTCCCTGAGATATGGTACTCTTGGCGCCACCAGATGATTGCTGTGGCCAAGGCTGGTTACAGAGCCATTGCACCTGATTACAGAGGATTTGGATTATCCGACCCTCCGCCAGAACCCCAGAAGGCCAATTTTGCTGACTTTATCACAGACGTCCTTGCTCTCCTTGATGCTCTGAGTATCCCCAAGGTATATTCCTTGCTGCAATCTTGCCTCTTCTATTTTCGGGTTAATGCTAAATTTCTATTTTGGGCTTCTGGTAATTGCTTGCCGTGAGTTGTAGCTATAAAATTCTCAAGTTTTCAGGCATGACCCCCTAAAAACACAAGACTCTGTCTGTTGACTGTTGATCAGCTTGGGACGTTAATCCCGTGACCATCCAAGATAGTTGTAGTGTTGCCGTCATGATTCATTAGGGTCATCACCTTGCAAGTTGCAACAAGTTTTAGCATCAGGTCAAACAACAGTTTCTATGTTCTTGGCTTCATTATGTATAGCTGAATGATTTCCACCAACTATTAGTCCTGCCTCTCTTGGCTTGTCTGACATCCTGGGCAGAATGAGTTCATGCATAGTATCAAATTCGTGATGAGCACAGCAGCAACATCTTCCATCCATATTATAGACACCTTGAGGATCTCATGAGCGGGGCATAATAAAGTATGGGGAGGCACCATTCAGATTAAAGTACTTATTATGGAATTTTAAGATTTTTATCTTGATTGTAATATCTGTAATGGCATTTAGTGATTAGTAATTTGATGTAGCGCAAATCATGGGATCTGATATAGCTAAAATCATGGGGCTTGGTGTAGCTCAAATTCTGGACTTCCTATCTTTTTCAATTTACATCTTCACCGAATGAATATTAGAGTTCTTGATTGACATATTCTCAGGACGAGTGATGAATGCTGCTGTTGCTTTTTTTTTGTTTTTTTACTGACTTTGCCTCATAACTTTGCTTCCAGAGTATTAGATTCCTTCTCTTTGTTGGATGGTTTGTGCCATATGGAAAGAATATTCCAGAACTTGTCCATCATCAGGCGTCAAATGTTAAATGATATCTCACAAAGATGCCATCTAAATCCTGCTAAACTATTTTTCCTGTACAGTACTAAATCTTGACATTCTTAGGTTACGTTAAAAAGTAAGTGCAATTTCCTCAATTCCGTGTAAGGATTATGTCCTGCTTGGCACATAGCTGCACCAAGTAAATAAATTGAACATTATTCATTTTCTTGTGTTACTGATTTGTTATCCACATCAGAACATACAGCTTTTGGGTGTCTGACTGCAAAGCTCTTTTTTTTGCAGGTTTTTCTCGTTGGAAAAGATTTTGGAGCCAGTGTAGTTTATTACTTTGCTATTTTGCACAAAGAGAGGGTCACAGCTATAGCAACATTAGGCGTGCCATTCAGGCCACCAGGGCCTCCTCCACATCATAAGCTTCTCCCGGAAGGATTTTACGTAACAAGATGGAGAGTATGCACTTTGCTTGTCCGGTTATTCAGGACGATAATTATAGCTGCTTCTAGTATTAATTCTTCTTTTCTTTGACTTGCAGGAGCCTGGGAGAGCTGAAGCTGATTTTGGACGCTTTGATTCAAAAACGGTTGTAAGAAACATCTACATTATGTTTTCCAGGAGTGAAATGCCAATAGCTAATGAAAACCAAGAGATCATGGACCTGGTGGAACCATCCACTCCTCTTCCTTCTTGGATGACAGAGGAAGATTTTGCAACCTATGGAGCCCTGTATGAGAAATCTGGTTTTGAAACTGCATTACAAGTTTACAGGTACAGGTACTGGACTCCTCTTAATCTACATTTCAGGCGAGTGGCGTTCTCGATTTTCTATCTTTCATTGCAACACGTAATTAATGAGCTCATTTTATGCAATAGAATTTTACTATTGCTTCCACAAGTAAATGCAAGAAATTTAAGTGCACCTAAATTACATATTTTCTTGAAGACTTTGGTTGAACTGGTGGAGAAGCAAATTTTCAGCTGAGCAGTAGCTTTTCTGATTAAACCATATTGACATGAATGTATGCTTGATTTCAGGGCCACTGGAGGAAGTTCGAATGTGCAAGATCCAAAAATTGAAGTTCCAGCGTTATTCATCATGGGTGAGAAGGACTATGTGATTAAATTCCCCGAAACTGAAGACTACATAAGGAGTGGTAGAATAAAAGATTTTGTACCAGATTTGGAGATAAAGTATATTCCAGAAGGAGGCCATTTTGTGCAAGAGCAATTCCCTGATGAGGTGAATCAACCTCTGCTTAGCTTCCTCAGCAGGCAGGCATAGTTAATCCTGATCGCATACAAGCAAGTACCATATTATAAGATGGCTCTTCGGATGTACTTGAAGTTGTTCTTAAATTGATTTTCAGAGGTATTATCAGGCGGATGATCAATCATGCATCTGTAGTCCGTAGTTTCAGCTCCGGCATCCATGTTTATGTGTTTTAACGCCAAATCAAATGTATGATTTTTCTTCGTTTTACTTTATTCTTCAAGAGCCATCACTACCTACTATTTCTCAAGTTTCGGTCTTTTAGCATAGCGGATAAGCGGTGAACATCACGTGACATATTCCAACTCGAAAATACAAATCGCTGATGTGCTTCATGTTATAAACTATTGAATGGAGATGGAATGTAGAATGCTGAAATTTTCCCATCACTAACTGAAGTTGAGTGAGAGAAACCCAGCAACAAACACCCTTTCCCTGGCCGGACTGAAATGATTGGAATAGAGCACAAGTACATAGAAGTCAATGGGCAACAACTTCATGTTTTCTTGCATGGGTTTCCAGAGATATGGTGCTTTTGGTGCCATCAGATGGTTCCTGCAGCCGCCATTGCACACCGTCAGTGGCTCTTTATTCGGACTCTCAAATACAGTTAGGCATTAATTATGAGGTCCTTAGCTGCTGAAATGTATCTGAATTATGTGGTCATTTTGTATAGAAAGAAAGCGAAAAAAAAAAAAAAAGAAAAAGAAAAACAGCCCTAGGGGATGATGATAAGACGATAAGTAAGGTCCGTATCAAATGCACATAAGCGCGTGCCACTAATATTAATTAATGATGTAGCGAGCGATTAATGCTAACGATGTGGGGTCCACTATAAGAAGTTTGTTCCTTC